TTGTAACTATCTCTGAAACTCTGAAACTGATAGTGCCTAACACCACAGAAACTGGTGTTGATATGTCCAGGAACCTCACCAAAACACTGGAGAGGCTGCACCTCCACAGGCACTTACCTCCACATGTGGTGGAAATGTCCCCAAATCCAACTCTTCTGGACAGCAATCATACAAGAAATAAGCAAAATACGGTAACTAAACAGGTACTAGAAGTCTCCCCAGTACTGGCCTTACTGGACATCTTCCAAGATAACAATGCCCACTATAAAGATCTCATAAGCCACCTACTATCAACAGCAAGAAACATCATAGCCAGATACTGGAAGGACCTGTCAGGAATAAACATGGAACACTGATGTCAAGTAGTATGGGAAACAGCTTTACTAGAAAAGCTAACCAGTTGACTGAAACTGACATGGGGAGAAATAGAAGAGGATGCCTTCACTTCAGCATGGCTCCCCTTTATCACATACACAGCCCAACAAGACAACAGCACAAATCCACTGATAGCATATGATTTAATATGGCAGACTCTTGAGAGTCCCATGGACTGCAAGAAGATCAAACCTATCCATTCTGGTTTTTTTTTTAAAGAATATTTATTCCAGTTTTAAAATTACAAAAAAAGAAAAAAGTAGGGGGGAAAAACAAACCACATACATCTTACAAAAAACAGACTGTAAAAAAAGAAATACAAAAGACAAAAAATCACAATAGAAAATAACAAAAATCAAATTAAATAATTACAACCGTCTTCCCATTTACTTGTTTCCATGACTTCCTCTCACCTCCCTGCTTTGTATTCTAGTTTAAATCATATCTCCAGCAAATCCTTCTAACCTTCTTTTCTTTTACTTATTTTAACATTCGAAAGTATTTAATTCTCCTCTATCTTTATTTTACACTTCATATTTACTTATTCCATTATACCCTGTCTGCCAATACGGTCTAATATTCTTCTCCAACCTTTTCTAACATTCTTTTATATTACAGTGTTTCTGAAGATATATTTTAAATTTTTCCAGTCTTCTTCCATCAACCCTTCTTCCTGATCTCGAATTCTGCCGGTCATCTCAGCCAGTTCCATATAGTCCATCACTTTCCTCTGCCATTCTTCTCGGGTAGGCAATTCTTGTGTCCTCCAGTATTTCCCAATAAGTATTCTTGCCGCTGCTGTCGCATACATAAAAAAATTCCTGTCTTCCCTTCGCACCAATTGGCCGACCATGCCCAAGAGGAAAGCCTCTGGTTTCTTCACAAAAGTGTATTTCAATACCTTTTTTAATTCATTATATATCATTTCCCAGAAGGCCTTGATCTTTGGGCACGTCCACCAAAGGTGAAAAAAGGTTCCTTCATTTTCTTTGCATTTCCAACATTTATTATCGGGCAAGTGATAGATTTTAGCTAGCTTGACTGGGGTTAAGTACCACCTATAGATCATTTTCATTATATTTTCTCTTAATACATTGCAAGCCGTAAACTTCATACCTGTGGTCCATAACCGTTCCCAGTCAGCAAACATAATATTATGCCCAACATCTTGTGCCCATTTAATCATAGCAGACTTAACCATTTCATCCTGTGTATTCCATTTCAACAGCAGATTATACATTCTTGACAGATTTTTAGTTTTAGGTTCTAACAATTCCGTTTCCAGTTTAGATTTTTCCTCCTGGAAACCAATCTTTTTATCTAGGTTAAAAACCTCCCTTATTTGATAATAGTGAAGCCAATCTCGAACTTTAGTTTTTAATTTATCAAAGCTCTGCAATTTTAATTTATCTCCAACTTGTTCTAAAATTTCACAATATTTTGGCCAGTTTGTCTCCATATTTGTTTTTTTCAATGCCTTTGCCTCCATTGGTGACAGCCACCTTGGTGTTTTACTTTCCAACAAATCCTTATATCTCACCCAAACATTAAATAATGCTTTCCTGACAATATGATTCTTAAAGGCCTTATGCGCTTTAACTTTGTCATACCATAAATATGCATGCCATCCAAACACATTATCAAAACCTTCTAGATCTAAAATGTCCACATTTTCAAGAAGTAGCCAATCTTTCAGCCAACAAAAAGCGGCTGATTCATAGTAAAGTTTAAAATCTGGCAGGGCAAATCCCCCTCTTTCCTTCGCGTCTGTTAATATCTTAAATTTTATTCTAGGCTTTTTGCCCTGCCAGATAAATTTGGAAATATCTCTTTGCCACCTCTTGAAACAGTCCATTTTGTCCACAAACCTATCCATTCTGAAGGAAATGAGTTTGACCAAACTATGGGAGGCAGTGGAAGACAGGAGTGCCTGGCGTGCTCTGGTCCATGGAGTCACGAAGAGTCGGAAATGACTAAACGACTAAACAACAACTTAACCCAACAATCCACCCCACGCACAAACAAATCCCACTGCAGCCAGCCAAAGACAATCAACCACACCCCAGGCCACCCCAACCTCTCTCATCACCAAGGAAACATAACAAGCGAATAGAAAGAACACCTACCCAAGTAACGCTGATACAAAAACCCAATGCATACACTAAGTAAAAGAACATAAGCTTTACCACCCCACCCACTCTCTCTTTTCTCCCCAACCCTATACTGCATATAACACCAATGTCTCACAACAAATGTAACTGATCTGTAGAAAACACAACCTGAAGAAAGAGACAATGCACGTGCTTTGAGGAAAATCTTTAATAATTTTTTTAAAAAAATAATAATAATACACATTTGAACCTGATCCAGTCACAATGTCCCCCACCCTATCCTCAGAGTCAAGTTTATATTTCATATCAAGCATTTTGCTTTGCCATTTTAAAATTGTAAACCACCTTGGGTCCCTTGGAAGAAAGGCGGTATATGAATATAATATAATAAATAAATAAAAGTTTATCCCAGCTCCGGAATATATGGCATCCCTGATGCTATGCTTGGCTAATCTGTGTGCAGGATGCTGGGTGCAAATGGTTTGAAAATGTAACTTTCAGGGGGTCTCTTATGTTTGTTTGGGGCCTGGCATACTTTTGACGAAACCCATTTGCTTTGCATTCAGTGCTGTGCAGAGCTCATTAAACCTGGTAAACGATCAGCGCTGGGAAGATAATTAGCACCCAATAATGGAATAAGAATAGATTACAGAAACAATAACATTTTGCAGTTCATCTACCGGAAAAGAGAAAAAGGGGGAGGAAATGAAAATTGCAGTTTTTCTGTTAGGTAAGTCGAGAGCTTGTATAATCTCTCATTACTGAACATTAATGAGGATTGACGGAGTCCTATTCAATTCCAAAGATAACCATCAAATGCTTCTATATTGGGAGGACGGCTCCGCTCCCGCCCCTTCCCCCACCTCCAAGGAAGATCAGGCAGCATTAATACCGACTGAAAAGAGAGAAGGGAGCGAGATAATGCATTTCATTTCTCCAGTTGTCATCGTCGTCAGAGTTGCCTTATGCTTCGCCATCCTCCCTCCACCAGTGAAACAGAAAACGTTCTAGCAAAGGCATAGAACATACATTTCTTCAGGGTGAGCCAGCCAAGAGACATTACCAAGATGTATTTTCCCCTTCTTCTCATCTCAAGATAATCTGTCTGCAACGAGCTTTCATGAAGAACACTCAGATCTGGAGTACAGAAGTTTTAGCTCAGTGACCAAATGCCCACCTCTAGGAGGGATCGGCAAATGTGTCAGTTTGGGTTTCTCTCCCTTCCTTGCACCAGAAAGCCACCCATAAAAAGGTGGGCTTTTTACAATGAGGAAAATGGTAAGAGAAATGCACACTGGGAAATATGGGGTAGCAGCTGCCAGATGCAATGCTGTGTAACCTCTATGCAAACCAATCAAAATGAATGCTCAATGGACAGGTGATCTGGAAGCATTGTTTGGTCATTTTACTGACTCCAGAAGATGCCAGGAATTGAACCCAAGACCTTCTGCATGTAAAATACGTGCTATACCACTAAACTACTAAGATGAGTTTAAGCAAATGTATGAAAGTATGCTATACTGAGTCAGATCACTTATGCCAATAGTGTCTACTCTGGGTGGCAGGAATCTTTTCCAGTCCTACCTGAAGAAGTATAGCTAGGGCTGGAAGAATCTGTCAGTTTCAGTTTCTCTTAGTTTCTCATTTTTCCAGTTCTGTTCTCCATATCAGTTTGCATATATGTTTTTTTAAAAGCGCTCATGAAAATTCATCAGCATTTTAGTGACATTTTCCTACTATACAGTTTTATATGCAGTTTTGACTACACATTTTTTGCAAAGCAGTCTTCTCTAATATAATACATTTCTATATTTTTTTTCCACAAACATATGCATTTATATGCACACTTTACTCCAGCACATGCATTATTATTATTTACACTTTCCTTGGCTGGAGAACTGCATTGCAAAATTCGGGGGCGGGGAGCATTTTGAAAGCTAGCTTATTTTGAAGGCTAGTTATTGTTTCAAAAAATGCAGATGCATAAGCTCACCTTTAAATGCAAACTGAATCAAATTTCTTGCCCATCCCTACCCTGCAGGCATCTCTAATCTAAGAGTGGGGAAGTGGCAATGCTCTATCTCATGGGTAGGCAAACTAAGGCCCGGGGGCCAGATCCGGCCCAATAGCCTTCTAAATCTGGCCCACGGATGGTCCGGGGATCAGAGTGCTTTTACATGAGTAGAATGTGTGCTTTTATTTAAATTGCACCTCTGGGTTATTTGTGGGGCATAGGAATTTGTTCTTTCTTTCTTTTTTCCAAAATATAGTCCGGCCCCCCCACAAGGTCTGAGGGACAGTGGACCGGCTCCCTGCTGAAAAAGTTTGTTGACCCCTGTCTGATAAAAGGAATGGATTCTAACCTGCTTAGGAGTCAATATGTTCTGGGACCAAGTCACACTTTACATGGTCCAGGCTGTTTGATACATGTTGATATTTGTATGTCAGGAACTAGCCAGCAGTAAATCACATGGCGTAGGAGACTTTAACTCTTTCTTAGAAAAAAAACAGGATGTGCTCAGCAAATCTTCCCAGTAGATCTTGCCTCCTATGAGGCAGTTGCAAAGTCCTCCCACAACTGCCTAAGTCTCTTCCTCTCTGGGGTTTTCTGTAAGCAATCAGAAACTGTGTCTGTACATCGCCAATCTTTCCTCCACCCTTTTCATGCCTTGCCTAGTTCTGGGAGATCAGGGGGAAAGGAGCTTGTTGTAGCAGGAGGGGGAAACACCTGTGACTCTTCACCAGCTTGACTCCTCTTGGCCTCCCTCCTCTGATTCTCCTGCTTCTAGACTGCTCTCTACCGCAGGCTCCCCCTGCTCACTTAGCCCTGTTCCTTCTTCAGCTTTGGACACGTCCTCTTCCCAATCTTCTCCCTCTGATCACACATGGTTGTCCCACCGTCAGTCCCCACGCACTGACCCTTCTTCCCATGGGGTTCCCAGCTGGATCCTCCCATCGTTCCTCTGAGTTCAACCAGCCCATGACATTGTAGCAGTAAATCCTGTAAATAAAGTGTGAAGCTCCAATGCATTCTATTGATGGAAGATAAGGCTATCAGCTATGCTCTCTCTGTTGTCAGAGGCAGTATGGTTTGAATACCAGTTGCTGGAACTGAAAGTGCAGAGAGTGCTGCTGTGCTCAGGTGCTGATTGAGGGCTCCCAATCAGAAGAGGCATCTGGGAGAAGAGAGCATTGGGTTAGATCTAGAGCCTCTGGCCTGATTTAGCAGGGCTCTTCTTATGATGGCAAAGGAGAAGGCAATGTAGATCTCAGTATGTGCTTAATATGCCCACCAAAATAAAACGGGGCTTAATGAATATGTGTTATTTTGATGGGATTATGTTCTTACATTTCAACTGTTTTAAAACTAGATTTTCTTTTCTTTTCTTTTTAACAAAACAAAAATTTCATGCATCAGATGTCGGTTCAAACCCTGAATGAAGTTCTGCCCAATTTTGCACTGTTTGCAAAAATTTCATTCCAAGTCTCAAGAGCAGGAATGGTCGCCTATGAAATATTTGAAAAACATACCCAACACCATCCAGAATACATATCTCAAGCTTCAAATTAATATAAAACACTTTGCATTTAAGTGCAATTCAAGATACCTTGTGGCCAAAAAAAGTTTGAATGTTTGATTCCCCCCACCTTAAAAAAAAAAAGTTTGAGCATTGCCATTTTTTCCACAGAGTGGTTTTATGCACTACAGGTCTGAATAAAACTCATAGAATATGCTTTTGTCACTGTTTTGAGATATAAAACATAGCCAGTGGACTTTTCCACACTTACCAGATGGGCAGGGTATAAATTTTTTATGATTATTATTACCATTAAGAGTGGTATAGCTGCTGTTTTTTCCCAGGTTTTCTTTCTGGTACACTGTCATGTGACATCATATTTATTAATATAATAATCTGGAATAATGTGATTTAAAAAAAATAAAAAGCAGCTTTTTCTTCTAGCACCAAAAAATCCAAATTTTGTGAAAGATCTGGAATGGATCCTCAGTGCTTTCATTTGAGTGGCATGTATACAAACACTGTCCTGGTTGGTTTTTTGTTTTTGTTTTTTGTTTTTGGATTGGTGGGTGTGTTTTGGAAATACCTGTTTCATGCTACTTCCCTCTCACAGGTCTGGGCTGTCAGTTTGCGAGCTCAGTTCAGAGGAGAGATGTGGCAGACAGAGGCGACGGCAACTACTGTAGATCAAAGCACTGCTCACGATAGCAAGCGTTATCTGCAGACAGAATTACATCACAATAACCAGGTTTGCCATAGCTCGGACAAACACTCTGTTCCTCTTAGAGCACTGGGCATTAAATACAAACAGGGAAAGAAGATATAGAAAGGCTATCCTTGCGTGCATACTCATAATGCTGACGTTTACTGGCTGGAAGAATACCTGGGTACCTGAGCGGTGTGCCTACAGCCACAGAACTTTTCTCAGTTCAGACACAAGCAACCACTCGTGTAGGAATCAAAACACAACTCTCTAATAGCCGCTGCTTGCGACCACAGGTACAGAGCTACAAATTCCCTCGATAAAATGTTGGCTCAAACGGCAACTACATATGGTACGTCGGGGAAAACCCTTAATCTCCCCCCAAAAACCTGTTTGTGAAATGCGCAAGGTGATTTCGTGAATAGATGACCAGCACCACCTACTGGCCGGTACAGGAATATCCATTCAAACATCCTCTGAGAACCAAACAGTAATGCCAATCTTCCCAAAAAAAGGTTACTCCAGGCTGTTTTTTGTAACAACAGCAGTCAGTGCTGTTCACAAGAGGTTTTGCTGGACAGTGATTGTGGGGGAGGCAGCAGAAGCTGGCAGGGAGGAGGGTGGTCATGATCTCCCCAATCTCCCTGTTTGATTCTTCCTCCCACCCCGATTCCTGTATTGGAGGACAAATGTCTGCAGTGGAGAGTCTGCTGTATTTATTGAGGTTCCCTGCATGAATTAGAACAGTGCACCAAAGAGTGCAGAACTAGTCAGCACATCCCTGTTCTTCCTCTTGCCATGGGAGAAGCAATACCTGAAGAGGACGTAATTTTAACTTCATTGGATTGCCAGGCCAGTAAACCTTCGAAACTGAAATATAAGTTTCCCAAGGGGAAAAAAACCTGCAGCAAAATTATAACGTGAAAGTTTAGGGAAACTGATCAGTATGGGATGCTGTATGCGATGCGGGTGGTGCTGTGGTCTAAACCACTGAGCCTCTTGAGCTTGCTGATCCGAAGGTCAGCAGTTTGAATCCCCGCAATGGAGTAAGCTCCTGTTGCTCTGTCCCAGCTCCTGCCAACCTAGGATTTCGAAAGCATGCCAGTGCAAGTAGATAAATAGGTACCACTGTGGCGGGAAGGGAAATGGCATTTCCGTGACCTCTGGTTTCCATCATGGTGTTCCATTGTGCCAGAAGCAGTTTAGTCATGCTGGCCACATGACCCGGAAAGCTGTCTGTGGACAAACGCTGGCTCCCTCAGCCTGAAAGCGAGATGAGCGCTGCAACCCCATAGTCGCCCTTAACTGGACTTAACCATGCAGGGATCCTTTACCTTTTACCTTTTCCATGCAGAAGCTCCCATTCCTGCCATCTTGAGTCAGAATGAAATATCAGTAGCAACTGCTGAGAAAGGCCTCCTCTTGAAACCCTGCTGAACCACCTGTCAGTCAGAGCTGATGGAATCAGGATGGAAAGAGGCTGATCTGGTTAATGGACACAGAGGTTGATCAGGTAGAAGGTGAATTTCTCTGTGTGAAATGTGGGTACCCTGAAATATTACGGAACTTCGAAGATGCAGTTTCCCCCCCTAATTGTGGCATAGGAAGTGCAATCTTTTGCGAGTCTCCACCTCCAGGCATTTCCTTGCTGATGTGATTAGATTCCTTTCATAACTAATTATTTGCATGGATGAGCTGGCCACAGTTACTTCCACATAGGCACTCAGTCTGATGCTACCCTTACAGACGGTGGAAAGAATAACAAAGGAAGCTACCTTGTACTAAGTCAGAGAAGGGTCAGTATTGTGTACACTGACTGGCAGCAGCTTCCCAAGGCTTCAGGTCCTAATAGAGATGTCAGGGATTGAACCAAGGACCTTCTGCATGCAAAGCAGGTACTCTGCCAATAGTCAGGTGCCAATAATTTAGACTGGGGGTTGGTGACTGCAGGCCAACTTTGACAACCTGTCCTCTGTGCAGCATTTCCCAAGCACCCAACAACCAGTTAAATGTTGGGTGCTTGGGAACTATAGTGCAGCCTGTGGACCACAGGGATCAGCTGTGCAATGGGGTTCCTCACAGGAAATTTGGTTTTACAGCCAATCCAGCAGGCTTGAAGTCACTGCCCATCAACTGTTGATCAGCGGCTTGAACTCAGCCCCCTCACCCTGACTTTCCGCTGCATCTCTGCCGTCACATATTATATCAGTTGTGGGGAAGGTGGGTCGTTGTTTGGAGAAAAGCACCTCACGAGCCAAATCAGGACCCATGCCAGGCCAGATTTGGCCCATGCCAGGCCAGATTTGGCCCATGCCAGGCCAGATTTGGCTCCTCAACCCTGATTTAAGCTTTTAGCAAATCAAAACCAGCTCTCTCACTGGTGCCTGTCTGGGAGCTGTTGAGAGGCAAATGCAAATATTGGCCCATCAGTATAATGTGCTCCTGTGGTCTCGCTGCCGAAGCATGTCTGCATTCCTCAAGGGGAGCCCCACGTGGCACACCATGCAGTGCTCCAACCTCTAAATGCGCTCATCGTGCTTTAAAAAAAAGCCTGTGGGACCCAGGTGCTCACTTGACTTGCATTCAATCACCATAAGCAGAACTGACACTGATTGATCACCATTGAGTGACACTTCTCTCCCTTCCGCATGCTAATGAGAGAAAATCAAAGTAGTGCTCAAAGCAGGCTGCAGCAAAAGGTGGTGTTCCTCCTGCCTGAGCCCCAGACGCAGGAACAGTGATCACATTTCACTGAGGCTTGGTCGTCTGTCTTGCACTGAGCTGTGGAAGAGGCTGCTGCTTTTATAACATAAGGTTTTCCTTTCTTTTCTCTGCAAGTAGAAACCAGCATAATGCTCTTGCATGGATACAGCAGTTTTCAAATACTGAGAAGGCTTTGTTTCCTTTTCCACAGTTGTTGCATGCAGAGCTATTTCCGTTCTGCTGCAGTTTGTATTCCACCAAAAATTATATTATTTGTCTTGCTGTCCGATGGGGCAAAATTACACAACCTACACAATTTCCATAATTAATTACATAACTTAAGTTGTCATTACGTTATTCCATCCTATTAATTTCAAAGGGAAAGCAACACAAATGTGGGGTAAAAGTAATCTATTATGTGTCGTTTGGGGACTGAAAGCAACAACTACAGCAAATACTGATCGTATTTGCTGGATTGGTTCCCGTTCTGGAGGCGAGATGAATAGGTCAACATCAGCAATTTCCACTCCCATTTAGATTTCTGTCCTTCTCTGACATCCCAAGGAACCACTCACATTAATAGGCATTGTCTATGTGAATTCAAAACAGAAGCCTTTGCAAAAAATATTGCTAGCCAAAGAAAAATTGAAAAGAAAAGGAATCAGATTAAAGATACCTGATGTAGAGTGACAGCTAGATTCAGATCCCGACTCAGCCATGAAGCTCACTGGAATACTGAGAAGCATAATTTACCCATTACAGAACTACAATTCCCAGCACCCTTAACAAACTACAGTTCCCAGGATTCTTGTGGGGGTGTGCTTAAAATGAGCTTTGGATGCATGATGCATACACAGGCTGGTGGGAGGTACAGTCCAACTACAACTGGAGGGCCCTGGAAGCTGCCCTGGCGTCTTTGAGGAAGGGTAGATGCAAAAAAATAAAGTATGTTGACCCAGCATTTAAACCCTGCCCATGTAATAGCTTATCTTTGGCCACCGAATCCAAACCCAAGTTGCAACTGTATGTAAATGATTCCCCTGCATTCCAAGTCTCTCTAAAAACTCATTCTGCGCTTCTAGAGGGAGAAAGATAATAATAAAAAGGAGGCTAAAAGAACGCTTTCCTTGGAGTTGTAGACTACCTCCTGCAAATGCTTGGTATATGTTGATTCTTTCCATTTCGGCGCTTTCTTGCACCATGCAGGTAAGTTGCAGTGACCTTAGTCTCAGAGGGTGGCTGTGCCTCAACACATAAGCTGCATAACTGCATACACCTTCCCTCTGGCACGTTCCAGATCTTTTGTGCCCTGCAGTTGAACCTTCCTGTTTACTCCTTGAGTTACTTCCCAGAAGTGCACATGTCCAAGAATCCTGCGTTTGTGTCTCCAGATTTTTATCAAGCACACACAGATAAGGCCAGTCCATATTTCTGGACTCTGGTTTTATTCTCTCTTATCTTCTCTTTTCTGCTTCTGTTCACCAGAATTTGGAGTTCCCTCTAACAGATTTTAAATGTTTTTTCCTCCAACATCATTTTCTTACAGTGCTGTGATTATTTTTCATCCTTCTTTACATTTTTTAAATGTCCCCCCTCCCCTTGCTACTCCCCTCCCTCCCATCAACTCTTTTGTAGACATTTGTTGGAGGATTTCTAAATCAGCAGCTTGTCTTGGGAAGAGTCTCCTTCTGATCCATGCACAAACCCATATTTTTACAACTTTCCGTTTGTGTAGTGAACAGCTCCTTACATTCAGACAAAAAGGTTTTAACAAGTTCCAGGTCCCTCATTATCATAATGAATCACCCCTCAGTTGGTAAGTCACTCACTTTGTTTGTCTCCATTGATTTTATCACTTCCTCGTTTATATTTGGCAAGTTGTGAGACAGCTCAGGGATCTACTTCTTGCATCAGGTCATCCAGCAATTTGTCCTTTTCCAAAGATTCCTCAAAATGACCCATAAACACAGAGTGCCTCCAGACTGTCAGTATTTTGCAGGAAGGATTCAAGTGCAATTACGTTTACACACTTTAAATGGCATCTCAGGTTAATGCCTGAGAGTGAGTGGGAACAGATAAAAAAAAATATCCCACCACGCTGGTGTGTTTTTGCAGGTGCATTCTGCAACAGATTAATGCAATAACTGCATAGCTCAGTCGGTAGAGCGTGAGGCTCATGATCTCAGGGTTGTGGGTTTAAGCCCTACATTGGGCAAAAGATTCCTGCATTGCAGAGGGTTGGACTAGATGACCCTAGTGGTCCCTTCCAAGTCTACAATTCTATGATTAGTGGTGGGTAGTGATCAGCAGTGGTGATCAGCAGGAAGCTATGGGACGTTCACCAGTTGGGAACAAAGCAGTATGTGCATCTCCAAAATATTTGCAGGGCACAAACTGTATTGAAAATGGGGTAGCATAAAAACCACCCTGATATCACATATCATCATGGATGATGTGGAGAGGCCCAAAGTCTTGGGAGGAGGAGCTTATATTAGTGATCATTCCCCCTGTTTCCTTCTAAGGGACAAGATGGTGAATTTCTAAATAAGGGGGTGCAATTCATTATTCTTCCACCTGTTGGAGGTCTGGGTTTTTGGAAGCATCTACTGTATTTTTTCACTCCCAACACACAGACTTAACTAGTTGTAGGAAAGGAAATGGAGTACCAAACAGAGGGTTCTTCTCTTCTTGACAAGGGTTCTTGAATGAGTCAGCACCAGTCGTGGGCAGCATGGTAGGGTACCACCACTCAACTAACCTCTAGTCGGTCACATTGCTGCTACTTAGTATGAGGAAGCAGGGGGTTGCAAAAGCAGCAGTAGGAGAACAGGATTGGTTCTGCTGCTGTGTTCGCACCTTGCCACCACCTTGCCACTTGCTCTCTACTTCCTGGTAAGCAACAGAGACACAAATGACCAGAGGTCAGGGGAGTGGATCTCCATGCTGTCCACTCCTGGCAGGCCGCATTGAACAACACTTAAGAACTGTCAAGATCCTAGAAATTACAGACAAACCAGCCTAACTGATAAATCATCTAAACACGATGTGAAGAATGTCCTTCAAGTATTACTGACCCGGGCAGAAGAGAATCCTATATGTTGAACAGCAGGCTTGACTCCAAAATGGCAAGATGATTGTTTTACAGTATTCCACTTTATAACTAATATACAGCAAAAGGCAGCCCGGCTGCATTTATTGATTTAAGTGCAGTTTTGATTCTATAAATAGAAGTTGTCTCTAGGAGGAATTATTTTTTAAAAGCAAATATTGATTTGAGACTTCCTTTCTGAAATAAGGGTGCTTTGTGTAGAAACATGTTTGACAGTTCAAACAGGCTGGAGATGTGTTCTTGCAGAGCTTCCTGCATGTAAATGAGTTCAACAAGGCTGGATTTTAAATCCATTGTCTTTTCATTTTTATATGAAAAAATATAGTTCTACATTCGTATAAAAAAAATCCATACGCCCAAGATTCTGGATAGACTTGTAAATGTACTACTTTGTGTTGATGATATTATTTTATTTTTGACATCTTAAGACGGCATGAGAAAGTTATTGAGACATTTATTGCTTTCTGTACAAAAACGATTCTAGTTATTAATGGTTCTAAATCCAAAGAAGTGGTCTTTGGTAAGAGAAAAAACTGTGCACAAATGGTAAATGCTCTAAAGAAATAGAGCAGGTGAAATCGTACTGCTGTCTTGGTATACAGTTTTTCTGCAGAAACCAGTTGCTTGCATATTTGCGTTGCCTTAAAAAGACTCCCAGAATTTAAGCTCATGGGATCAATTTGCCCGATTCTAAATGCCTTTAGAGCAATGCTAATTGTGGGTGCAGAAATTCAGGGCTTTGTAAACATCACAACAGTGAAAAGCACCTTCTGTGTATGTTTTTAGATGTATTACAATCTATCCCTGCTTATTTAACTAGAGTAAAGTGTTGAAGAGATTTCTGGCCTACTGCATGTTAGCATGTTTAATTACTGGTGCAGAATAATTCAAATTATTCTTCATAAGATCTGCCTTGAGGAATAGATGGGTGATAGGTTAAGGTAAAGGGGCCCCTGACCATTAGGTCCAGTCGTGACCGACTCTGGGGTGGCGGCACTCATCTCGCTTTATTGGCCGAGGGAGCTGGCGTACAGCTTCCGGGTCATGTGGCCAGCATGACTAAGCCACTTCTGGCAAACCAGAGCAGAAACGTGTTCTGGCAAACACGGAAACGTCGTTTACTTTCCTGCTGAAGCGGTACCTATTTATCTACTTGCACTTTGACATGATTTTGAACTTCTAGGTTGGCAGGAGCAGGGACCGAGCAATGGGAGCTCACCCCGTCATGGGGATTCAAACTGCTGACCTTCTGATCAGCAAGCCCTAGGCTCTGTGGTTTAACCCACAGCACCACCCGCGTCCATAGATGGGTGATAGTTTTGGGTAAAATTCAAATTTACTACTGCAATATAAATTCTCAGTGCAGGCATTGAATTCACTTGGAGATGTATTTTTTATTTTATTTATTTAAAACACACACATGCACATATATACTGCTTCTATAAAAAAACCTTTTAGCTGTTTACAAAAATATAAAATAAGATGTTAAAATGTGTTTTTTAAAGAAAAAGAAAAGTAGGTATTTTAAAATATTCAAAAGATGAGTAAAACCAACAGTAGAAATAAAAAAGAAATAAAATATATGTAACTTCTATAGGTCTGGATAGCCTTGCCTGAACAAAAACTGTTTTAAGCAGGCACTGAAAAGCGTGCAGCGAAGGTGTGTGTCTAATTCAATGGGCAGGGAGTTCCAAGGTGTAGGTGCTGCCACTCAAAAAGATGTATTTATTACAAGCGTGGAATTAGCATTATGTGGCATCCATAACAGCGCCAGTTCCACAGATTGAAGTGGTTCAGTGGGCATACATTGGGCAAGTTGATCCCACAAGTAAACCAGTCCCAAGCTGTTGAGAGCTGTTTATCCTACTAGCAGCACCTTGCAGGTGCTTCCAGAGTGTGGGGCAGCCAGGTACACTTGCCCTGGGCCTCAAAGTGCTGAAATCAAAGCTAGCATTATTAGTATTTGACTGTCACCTGTTTAGGAGATTTCATACTTGACAATGGTGGAGGATGTGTGTGCATGTCCCATTGGTGAAGTGTTGGTGGCATTCGCCCTTGTTCTGATAGGAAAGGCTCAGAGGGGGAGGACACGAAATGATGGGTGGTCGAGGGGGGTCTGTTGGGGGGTGGAGTGAAAAATATCTCTATTTTCATCTGAGGAATGTTGGGGGGTATGGGACCTGTTCCTAGAAACACACAACAAAATGAAGTCTGGATGAGCCCCTAGATAGATTCGCCTTTCAATGTGAATTTAACTGAATTTTCTTCCTAATCCCTAATCATGTGATTAATGAAATAAAGAGGGGTGTGTGTGTGTTCTGCTTCAGCTCTCAGCTAGCCAGCCAGGCTGTTTGGGATACAGTGGTACCTCAGGTTACAGACACTTCAGGTTACAGATGCTTCAGGTTACAGACTCCGCTAACCCAGAAATAGTACCTCGGGTTAAGAACTGTGCATCAAGATGAGAACAGAAATTGTGCTCTGGCAGCATGGCAGCAGCGGGAGGCCCCATTAGCTAAAGTGGTGCTTCAGGTTAAGAACAGTTTCAGGTTAAGAACGGACCTCCGGAACGAATTACGTTCTTAACCCGAGGTACCACTTGCCTTAATATTAATGGCCAGCAGACGGCAATCTAAAACTGTTCAATAAATTATAACCAAAGCCCTCTCATTTCATTTCATTTTGTGAACTGGAAGATTGCATTTTTGTCTCCTGAGTGTGCATTGTTCTAAAAGTATCACACTGGAAGTCAGCTTGCAGGTGGCTGGATGTGGAGGAAAAGGAAGGATCCTGCAGAAATAGCAGTGGAAGGACCTATCGAAATGATATGCCACCACCTCCCCCCACGCTGAGGTTAGGAAATGTGAAAAGAAACAAGGCAACTGTTGTTTTTCACTTAGTATTTGTGTATCACCATGAATGTGCTTGGTGCTTTACGGAGTATAAGAGGACAGGCCCCCATTGACACCCCCTATCTGAATGTCAGCAGAAAGAAGAACAAACAGGGACTTAGAATTCTGAGCACATACAAAGTGCTAACTGGTGGTAAAGGTACCCCTGACCGTTAGGTCCATTTGCGGACTTCTCTGGGGTTGCGAGCTCATCTCACTCTATAGGCCGAGGGAGCCGGTGTTTGTGCACAGACAGCTTCCGGGTCGTGTGGCCAGCATGACTAAGCTGCTTCTGGCGAACCAGAGCAGCACACAGAAACGCCGTTTACCCTGCCGGAGTGGTACCTATTTATCTACTTGCACTTTGACGCGCTTTCGAACTGCTAGGTGGGCAGGAGCAGGGACCGAGCAACGGGAGCTCACACCATCGCGGGGATTCGAACCGCCAACCTTCTGATCAGCAAGCCCAAGAGGCTCAGTGGTTTAGACCACAGCACCACCCTTCACAGAATTACCTCATAATGTGGCACCCACATTTCCTCAGTAATGCTTTCAGCTGCAATCCGAAGTCAATCCGAAGTCAACTTTAATTACTATGGGCGGAATTCAATGCTGCACTCTTACCATCATTTTGTCTGAGCAAGCATTTCTGTTTGCTAGATGGAACAATCCCCTGCTCTCCTTGCCCTACACTGGGCAGGGGGGCCAACTTGAATAAAATATTGGGGGCCCCACACAATCAATCACGTGATGTGGTGCACACACACCATTTGAATGGCAATGCCCATCAACTTTTTTGGGGGGGGGAATAGCCCCCTCAAATATTTTATGGGGAAGGCAAAGACCCATTGGCTGCTAGGAGCTGACTCCCATGCAAGTTCTGGGGTTTTTCTGAACACCTCCCCCCTCCCCCCAGACAATTTCAGAGGGCTCAAGGAGCACACAGAGGGAGTGGTGAAGGTTAGAATGAGAAATACAGTGGTACCTCAGGTTACAGACACTTCAGGTTACAGACTTTGCTAACCCAGAAATAGTACCTCGGGTTAAGAACTTTGCTTCAGGATGAGAGCAGAAATTGTGCGGCTGCAGCGTGACGGCAGCAGGAGGCCCCATTAGCTAAAGTGGTACCTCAGGTTAAGAACAGTTTCAGGTTAAGAACGGACCTCCAGAACGAATTAAGTTCTTAACCTGAGGTACCACTGTAATGGCTAGCCCAAG